GGAATTCCCGATAGAACTTGTCAAAAAGAAAAACATATTTAGATAGCTCGTATCCCTTTCAGGCGCCGTCTCGACGCTGGCACAAGCACACAGAACGTAACAGATGAAACACAGAAGTACAGGTTTTTATCAAAATTTATTTAGATAATCATGAATTTTTATTACTTGTAATTATACAGTTTACTGAGTCTGTACTTGTATTATTATATCATTAAAAATTCATTCACCAATGTATATGCAATGCAACACAGAGGTCGTTGACAATAAATTAAGCATTTTTCAATTTTTGACGAAATACTGAAGGAAGTTTTTTGCCATAGAATAATATTTGTTCTCATAACACCTGAGTATCACTAACTTTCAACAATTTTAAGTGATACCGGAAGGAGAAAGTCAATAAGTTATTTCCAGACTGATTTAAAAATTCATACTGACTAAAGGCTACGGAATATCATTAAGATGTTACTCAAAGGAATAAAATCTTATGTTGTTACATTTCATTTCAGAAGTTCGACTTTCAATAAATCAATTTAGGCAATTTAAAAGCGTTAATAAACTTTTATAAAAGGCAAAGTACCGTAAATTAGGATGTAAGTAATGTTTTCAAGCAAAATTTTTTATAAATATGAAAAATTGCCAAATAATCATATCTAAAAATCACATATCCCAACGCCACAAAAATTACCTTCTAGTATTAAAAATAAAATTGAAAGAAAAATCATACCAAGATATTTTAAAATTAAATATCTCAATATTTTTTGTGCCACAACTGAGTTAAAAATGAGTTAAAAGAAATAAAAAGTAGGTATTGAGACAAAATATATTAATTAATGCAAATAAAAAATAGTGGTATAAAAACACTTGTTCACACCACAAAGCACTATACAAGTACACTAAAATATAATAATAGCAGAAGTGAAGAAGAGTGAAAACAAAGTATAAAATTGCAGAAGAAATTACAATACAATAAAACATATGTAGGTAGTAGATATGAATGAAATGGTAAACTGTTAGATCGCAACTGGTTTAATGGTCACTGGATGTTCGTAGTATCAAAAGTTTGGTGAATTATTAATAATAATAATAATAATAATAACTATATCGCTTCTAGATTAGACTTAAGAATCAGTACAGACGAAGTACAATTTTTTTACGATTATTGAAATATGCAATAAATAATTTTCTAAATGACCAACTTTGTAACTTGCTAAACCAATAAAGAAATCGATCAACTATAGGTTGATTAGTCAGCTAAATACTTTCTCCAGAAAATTATCGATTATGATCCCAAATGAACATCAAAGTCAGAAATTTCGACTTCAAAAATCAAATTTCGACACCAGTCACAAAATTTGGATGATTGATGGAACTAATAATATGAGTAATTACCCAGATGATACAAACTTGCTGGTCGCTGTTGCATCTGTCCCTGACAAAAATGTTTATTATAACTATAAATCGAATAATTGTTGAAAGTGAAATATTTTAATTAATGAAACCCAAAATGAGTAACTATTTTCTAAAAGTTCTGTTGTTCTCAAACAAAGTCGAATACAATTCAACAAATCCATGTTTTCTATTTGCAAAAACAAACTGAAACAATACGAAACACTTTGGGTCAGATTTTCAACGTGTTGCGTCATGGGAGCCCAGCAATGTATTTTTCACATTCCTGGGGCAAATTTTCATCAATTATTGTCAACAATGTAGCTTTTATCTCTGTAAATTTAATAACTTCAATAATACTTTATTATGCACATTTGCCTCCCGCCATTATTTTCTAGATACTCTTCGTAGTTCAGACGCGAACTATTTGTAGAATCGGAAACCTTGGTTCATGCACTATGCGTTTATGAATAACTTTAATTTCAAATCGCTCACATATTCAATACGGCAACATAAATTTTGTGAAGTGTAATCTATGAAAGCTGAAATGAACGAAATTTATTGATGTCCAAGTTGATTATGTTTACTTGAGAGCGTCCTTTTTTTATAGGAACAGGATTCCAAAAATTAGTGTATAACAATTAAACTTTTGTAGAATTCATTGATGCTGCAAGGTAAAGTATATGATCAGCTTAATCACAAAAAATTACTAAATTTAGTTCCTATAGGTAATAATGAATGACCTCTTGCTGTCGGTTAACGACATTTTCAATGCATAATTGAGCTTCTCTTCAGGCTTTTATCGGTCGCGGTGTTTAAGAGTAGTAAATTCGCCTTTTACGCCGACAAGTAATCTTGCTTCATCTAAATGAATACGCTTAGTGGTTCAGGCAACTTCAAAAAACGGTCAATTGAAGAAAATAATTTATCAATTTATTGATACCCAACTGGTTTCTATACCTCTTCAAGTAACGCTTACGAGTGGACGATGCGCTCAAGTCGGTCTTAAAATTGTCTTGTACCACGAAATAAATTGGTTTTTGACATTTTTGCGCCATTTTTAAAGTCCTAATTCATTTTCGACTTTATTTGCACTAATATACCGTATATTATATACATTATTTAAACGCACAGAGGTTTTCTAGGGCGTTACTAGAGAAGATTCATTAATAAAATGCTATAAAATTCTCAGTGTGAACTTGATTTAATTCTCTCCAAGAATTAATTATTTTCTGAAAGCAAATGCTTAGTAATTCAAATAACTACGTATACTTGAAAAGGGTTGAACATGGGTTTTTTTGAAACTGAATCTCAACTATAGTTTCCGCAAAAAATAATAGTTTATTTCATTTACGGTAAAGCAGTAATCGATACACGAAATCTGAAGCCTTCATGAGATTGCGCGGTTGGAAAGTGCATTAAGAATATGTTTTACAGGGTGATGCAGATTACAGAGCAGAATAGAAAAATAATATTAGTTTGTGCTATAAACTTTATTCTAAAACTACAGGGTGTTAATATTTGGTAAACAAAAGTCAAATTTATTACCTGTTTTCAAACAGAAGCAGATTTGGAATTAATAATTGTAGAGTTTAGCTACCGTCAGGAGAGTATGTTTTGAAATAAAAAATATTATTTTTTATGACTTTTTATTGTGCATTTATGATTATTTTGATAGTTAACTTTTTTAAGCAACAGTCTCTAGAAGCAATTGGGCCACTACGACAATAGCTAATGTATCTGTAAAAAAGTCATTCTTGAGTAGCTCTCTAATTGTTACTATTAGTGTCCCAAGAAACCCTTCCCTCTTGAAACAGACCAAGCAAATAGTTTCAAAAATTTTCTTATCGCTGCAAAAAATTTGTTACACGGTGTCCAAAACGTATTTTTACCCAGACCTTTAGCTGACGCTTCAACGGTGCGCGCTTCTGTCGCCTCATTCTGCCCTCACCAGCGTTTCACAAGTACAGGATAGTATAAATACAGGAGCTGCACCAGGTGAAAAAGCCATTAATCCACGGCTTTCTTCACAAGTTTTCATCCGATGTAATAACATTCTGTGTTTTTATAATAAAATGTTTTTCGCATACAGTTTATGACACGAATTCGTATTATTTATCGATTCTCTACTGCAGAACTGCAATATCCCACAACAAAAATTACGCACCAAAAATAAACGTTTTGATTTGAAAATTGAAGAAATTAATCACTTAAACGTTGCTCTAAAATCTAACCCAATCATATTCAAGTCGATTTTCCGCTTATTTATGTATTCTGACGACAAGAGTTCCATTGTAAAATAACGCAATACCCCGTAGAATTTGCACATCACTTTCCAAATAAGCACAACCAGAAAAATTGTTCCAATTTGATACAAAATGTATCCCGATGCAGAAGTACTTCCACGAGACCTTAGATATTAAAAATATGATAGTTAAACTGCAAAACTCCCACAAATGAAAAAATATACACAGAGCGTTCGGTAAATTTTTTAGGTAAGTAAGTAAGTAATTTTTTTTTTGGCGCGGGTACTCAAGGTAGACACCTATAACTAAAGTAATCTAATCAATACCTAAAAATAAAAGAGCTCTAACAACCCTAAAATAAGAATATCTAATTAAATAAAAATATTTATACACATCATCAATCATAAAAATCATTGTGCAAATCGAAAAGTAAGTGTCGTTATAACACGGTATATTAAGAAAACATCTCTACAATTACTCCCAATATATCAGCAGGAAAAGCACTGAGTTATCACTCACCCTGTATACACAGTTTTCACGAGAAACGAAATTCTAAAAACGCATCGGGTGGGATTAAAACCATTTTGTATAAAAGTTTCAATAAAATAGAGATCAAAACATTTAAGTCGACTTTCATTTGATTGTGAAGGGGTCCATTTTCATGCAATCGAATGTCAATCTCCCTGTACAGTTGATTGGGTGTAAATAAGAGGTTTGCTAAAATGACTTTCAGAAAGTGTCGCTGCCGCCTAGTATATTATTAGCTGATCAATTCAAATGACTTTGAGATATGGACGATTTTTTCCACATGAATTACTCACCGCAAATTTTTAATGTCCAAATTTGAACAGGTTTGCAAATATACCGAGAATCGAAGGAATCTACTTAACACAAAAAGCAAAGTAAGTGGCTTGTTGAAAACCTTTAGTCATTGTCCCCAAAAAATCCATTTATTTGAAATCATATACAGGTGCCAAACAGACGCGGAAGCGACAAAAATTTGACGGTTTAAGGGTAAAAAATGACCTTTTTGTCCCGAGCTTTTGCTACCTGAACCGAATCGAACGCACGCTTCAACCCTCTTGTCTAGTTCAGGTCTTTTGATGCTTTATTTTTGAGAATATGAGAGAGGCCTGATGTAAATTTTGCAATCCGAAGGAGTATTTCAAGTATTGTAAAACAGTTTGCAGTTTGTAACTCGATCAGTAATGAAATGTCATTCATTCAATATTGCAAGACTTCGTACAGAACAAAGCAGCACTAATTTTAGCGGAACCCCGGAATCACCATAGAATAGCACCGACATGGTTCGGTGTTCGTAATGTTCGTATCTACCTGTATTAGTGCAGGTAATTCTCTCAATATACAAGTCCCATATACAGTTAGTCACCTTCCAACCGTATTGAGATACGGCGGTTCGTTTAACTGAGCAAGTCCAAAAGCTCCGATCTTTACTTTAGTGAGTTTCATGTGCGGTATCGTGGTCTTCGTCCCTCTCGTCGAAAATTATATTATATGGGACAATATTTGAGATTTTTTTCACTAATACTTTCTCAATTTGGCGGTTATATGTGATCATTCAAGCTCCAGAAGTGCAACTCTCTAAAGATATTCTGAAAAAATGACTGACAACTTGCAATTTCGACATACAATTGGAGATATAACAACATTTATTTGTCGAGATGCGGTAAACATTGTGCCAGAAAAAATATTGTGTGATGTTTAACGTTTAACTAATTAGGTAAGTAGTTGTTACACAGGTGGCTCATACAAACACGACTTAATTTTGAATGCTTTTCCAGAAAAAAACGCAGAGAAAATGGAAGACGATGATATTTCCGTCCGGGTTGCCGTCAGGTAAATTATTGAAACTTTATTAAAAATACATTTTAGTCAATGTTAGCGTTAACTGCATATAGGGAAAGGAAGCTTGCACGTACATGTTTAAGTAGGGCGAAATAGTGCTGCGAGTATCTGATGAATACCCACATTGTACGTACAAAACGATTTTTTGAAAAATTATTAAGTGCGTACAGTAGCAAGTGTGTCTTAATAAACTCTGACTACGTGAAATTGAAAGAAAACGGAAGTTGACTACTTTACTAGTGTGTAATATTTTACGCGAGGTAGATAGATGGTCTGTTCAGGCAGGCTCAGCAATCGTCTAAGGGGATCTATTAAATTAATTAAAATTAAATTTGTTATTAAATAATTTTGAAAGCTTTATTGGCTCAATATTCCACGGGCACAAAAACAATTGGTATCATAAAATTTTTACTAAAATCAGAAAGTGCATTAACTGCTTATATTAAGCGAAAGTCAACTCCTAAGAGTATTTTAGGACTTTTGAGGGTTCACAAAAAATGTAAACACATCCTCCACCCTGCGGAAATGCGTCGGTTTCAATAGTGGCGACCTTTAAAACGCACTCCTCAATCAATTTATGAACATCGATAATTCGTTTTGCGAAAGCCATTTTTGATTCAGATTTCAGAACAGTTGATTGGTCCACTGATCCACTTCAAAACATGTAACTTAAAGTAAATCAAGTTGACTAAAATTCAACTTAAAATACCACAAACAAAATATTTGATTCTAAAGTTTAGATGGCTGGTTCAAAATTGCCTGGTTTCACGGAAATAATTTTTTTGCGTTAAATCGGAAATTCCAGCAGCTCCATTAGAAAACATTTAAAATTTTAAGATTTTTTAGTTTTAGATTCTGGTACTTATTTTCGCTAGAATACAACTATAATCTTCTTGAAGTAAAAATATATGGTTTACAATGGTATTGTTTGGCTACGGAAGTTTTCAATCAAACATTTAAAATTTAAAAAAGATCGGACGTTAATGCAAAGTGGTATCAGTATGAATTCAATTAAAAGCTAATTTTTCATTCGATGTATTATTTATTATTAAGCTGGCATTTAAAAACATACAATTCCACGCCTGAAGATACAATGTGTATATAATTATATAAGTAACACGTATAATTAAATAATTGCCATTCAAATTCAGCTGCATGTAGTTTCATCAAATAGATATTCATCTTTCCATTATCGTGCAATAGGCCGGGGATTTCATGTTTTTGATGCTCTGTGCTATCAGTTATTGACAACAATAAAATTTTTGCAAGCAAAATCTTGGCGCTGCGATTTAACAACATTCCAGCTGATATAATTTGTTTTTACATCTAAGAACTAGCGTTGCTTCATTTGCTTCATAAAATCAAAAAATGTATTTATCACATTTTTAATTTTGCCATATCGAGAAATGATGTTGATGTGATCGTTAAAAATTATATTACGTTGTATCAATTACAAGGTTAATTATTACGTACATTAATTCTGATACCATGCAATTTTGTCAATATTATTAATATACTTAATTGGTCCGCAGTAGAAATAACGATTTAATAGTTTTTCAGTAATTGCTGCGTTTTGCATGTTAATTAATACTTGCCGTTACTTAATTGATCCATTAAAAAACAAAAAAAAACAAAAAAATGCGACCGGCTCCTACATTTGTATCATGTACATAACAAAAATTCATTGCCTTGGTTAATCGTAGAGCATGTAATTCGTAGGAGATTAAACATTCGAGATATGTGTTATCTAATAAATTTCCTGATAAGTTATTTTATTTGAGTCTACATATGTTTGTCGATTTTATAAAAATAACCCATTATTAACCAGTTTCAAATCAGACATTTATCACTATCATGCCTGTTTGAATGCTTCTTAAATCCAATGTTTATAGGAAGATTTAAAAAATATTCTTCAAATCTAAGCACATCTATGGACGTTTTTAAACATCTATCCAGTAATATTTGTATTATACAAAATAACCACTTGTTGACTTCGTGAACTAATGTACCTTTAGAAACGATTACAAAGGCTTTCAAACACTCTTTCAGTCCAAATACAACTCAATTTTGGGTACAATAGGGATAGTTTATCAGTAATCAGGCAAAGTAATCAATTAGCTTAATGTAAAAAGTAATACTTTTCGTTTTTATTGTTCTTGTCAATGTAATCGAACAAATGAACTGTTGATCCATTGAGTTTAAGGAAATGGTATGTTATCATTTACGTGAACTGCAGATGTTTTTAGATGCACATTTTCATTTGTAAATAATCGTTAAATAAATATGATTTGATTCGCATGAGATAATCGGAGTGGTTTTGTGATGGACAAAGGCCAATTGCGGTCATATTAAGACGAATATTAAAAATGGCTAAATAATCTGATTCAATTACTTGTTAAAATAGTGTAAGTTAATTAATTACCCGTATTACGCTGTCACTTTTATTATAACGAAAATAAACCAACTCTTGGTTTAAAATAAACTTTACGCGCCGCTTCTGAGGGGTTATGGCCTCTCAAATACACGGCGGACTAAGCAAGATAACTACACTTTTTTTTAATGAAAATTCGTCAGAATGCTGACAAGTTCAAATTTGAGAAAATACGCTATTAATTAGAGTGAGCGTCCTAGAACTGTTATTGGCAGGATATTTTCGCACTTGAAAAAGCGCAACTGAACATTAATTTTACGACAATTTGATTATAAATTGCTAGTTTGAAAGAATTTGTTTTTTAAGTATGCAAATTAGAATTTTATGATTTGCATTTATACTCAATTCACTATAATGATCCCGCCAAATAAATTATGTGAAGAAATAGTGTTTTAATTGGACGCAATGCGTTTTAATGTGTAATAGTTATTTTTTTTTAAATTAAATTTGGAATGTATTGGTAATAAAAATATTGATTCTTGAAATTTCAAACTTGTCTGCTTTAATAGTTTCGAAACGCTTTGATATGACATCGAAGAAAAAATGAGCACTTTGAAAGTATGTGACAATTTTCTCCAGGATTTAGAACTGCTGTACTTCTGCGGATATTGGTAATGCAATCAATCAATCCTTGAGCTAGTTTATTGCAAATTGACATGTAAATTTGCTTTCTGCTTCAATTACTCTTTCAGTTCATAAATCAGCCGATCATAATATTTTATTCTTGATTGACATTTCAAGTTAGTTAGTCCACTGGGTATACTCTAATTTAAAAAAGAAACGAGGACCCTGAAGTGTAGCCATTGTCTTCATTGACATCCGACAAAAAAGAGAGAGACATGAAAAAAGAGAAAGAATAAAATAAAGCTCGGTAAATACAGGAAATAGGCTCTATTTGTGCGATAGGATGCTAAATTTGTTCAATCTAAATATAGGCAACATATGTAAGTAGACACCTAATAAGAGAACTTGTTATAAGCTGTTTTTATTGGGGAAATATTGTAGTTGACAAATGAATACATCGTCTTATCTGTTCATAAAATTCTAAGTGGTGTTGAGCATCTTCGAATTATACAAGATACATATGTAAATGTATGTATTAGCAAATAGATTACATGTAGACCTTATTGGTGCAGTGGTATACTTTTTGAAAAATCGGTCAAATTTACCAATGTTAAGTGCGGAACTTTTGATTAAAAATGCCACTCAGGTTATTTACAATTGGTGTATTCCTAAGATAAAACTTTTTTAAATTACTATTTAATATGAAAACCATTATTACACATTCAGCAATATAGTAATAAAATATCAATTTTTCGCACCCATTAAAGGTTTTCTTAGTGGTAGTTACCATTTTCAACACCCTTAACGAGGGGGAGCTGCCCTCTTGCTTAAATTTCATAAATATTTATGCACTCGTCTATATTTGAGCTCAATCGAAATTTGCCTACCATTAGGTAAATTTTTGTTGATAAACTTCATCAGCATTAAGCGCAATAGTTTATAAGCGTATTGATGATATATCATCAATGATTTAGCACTTGAGAAATGAATGGTTAATTTCCTAAAACTACCATTGGTTTCTTGTGTTGTGAGCAGCTACTTTCTATTTACATATATCTAACCTTGTGTTTTGTGAAACAATATTTTAGTTAAATTTTGCTCTTGGCCGATCTATATTGGTCAAGGTAAATCAAGTTTGTATGTTTTAAAAGAGTTATCTCATACCATTTGATGAATAGTTCTTAGAATGACTAATCAGTTAGTAAAATATCTGCTGTTTTTTGAGTTTTTTTCTTTAGAATATATAAAAATTGAGATGGAATGAAATGATGGTTTTGATTTATTTCTCTGCCTGTTGAAGTGATACCTTAGCTCCAATTAATGTAAACGAGGTTGCAACTGCAATCGATACAAAGGATTATACGGAATCAAGAAATTAGGCCGTTTATTTCGGTCTATAATAACTTTAAAATAAGACGGATGAGTCATAACAATATACAGGGATAGCCAAGACTTAGTGTCATTAAGCAATCTATTTTCGCCAACCTCATTAACGTTTCGCTTCGGCCAATAAAGTAGTTGTTTCATTTATTTTAAGACCTTCTTTTGAACCATTTATTTCATCTATTCATGCAAATAACAGATTCTTGGGAAAATATATTTACTGATGTTACACAATATTGCAAAATTATCTGTTGGCAGGCATAAATTATACGTACAGCCTACGTTACCTAAGCGTTTTCGTATTAGTTAAACACCATTTTCAGCCATTTAAGCCCGTGATATTTAAATGTTTTCTTCACAACGCCCACAATTAACTAGCATACTTTTTAATGACATGCCAACAGATAAATATGAACACCTTGTTAATTGTTATGCAGCTGGTCGATTCCATTCATGAATCCTGCAATAAAATTTGTGAATTATGTCATATTACCGGCCTTCAATTTAAAATTCACATATTGAAAGTCATATTTGATTTAGTGAATTTTCCATATTTGCTTAATACCTACTATTATCTGAATCGATAAGGCAAATATAAGATGCATGAGAAAAC